CTCGGCCGCCCAAGGCATTCCTTCTTGTCCCCCTGCCCCTACAAGACAGGAGAGGTCCGCAGACCTATCGGCGGCAGCTTAGCAGAGGGGATTTGGCAGGGCTCAGCGGAGCTCGCTATTTCCCCGTCTGTTTCCCCGCGGCGCCAACTGGAAGTCCGCCAACTCATAACCTATTCTCTTACAGGCTTGCTATTCTCTTGGCAACCAAATTGCATGGATTCTGCCACTAATCTTTTTCTAGGGTTTATATTTTTTAACTTCCAGGTCTTGCCAAAAGCATATTATTTCCTATTGGTGCCGCATCCGGGTATTAACGAGGTTCAACTCTACTGACCGTATTTTTCAGACTATAAGACTCACCTGACTATAAGGCACATCTAAATTTAGAAGAGGAAAACAACAAAAAAAAGATTTTGGCCGACCTTTTTTGGGGCCTTTTCCAGTCTTTTTTCGGCCTGTTTCTGGGGCTATTTTCGGCACATTTTTGGGTGCTTTTTTCAGCTCGTCTTTGAGGCTTTTTTCGACTTGTTTCTGGGGCTTTTTTCCCCATTTTTGAGGCTCCCCCCCTCCCCTGTTTTTCAGGCTTTTAGGGGGCTGTTTTTGAGGCTTTTTGGCCCATTTTTGAGGTTTTTGGGGGGCATTGTTGAGGCTATTTTTGGCCTGCTTCTGGGGGGCTGTTTTGAGGCTTTATTGGTCAATTTTTGAGGCTTTTGGGGGCCATTTTTGAGGCTTTTGTGTCCCGTTTTTGAGGCTTTTTTTGGCCTGTTTTTCCGAAAAAACGTTCCTGTGGTTATGAAGGTGCAGGAAAAGGAGAGACACCAACTTGGGTTCTGCCAACCGTTGCACATTTATGATGGCTGCAGCATCCCACACTCAGGATCCCCGTTTGTGACCTTCTCAGCTAGATTCTGAAGCAAAATTAGTAGGGATGCCAGCAGGAAATTGCAAGTCGCAGTTTGTGGAACAGATGCAAGTTGGCACTGTCATGTGACATCATGCTTCATGAATTGCTGCTTAGTGACACAGAAGCCAGTCCCAATTGCACTCAGTAAGTCAGGATTGCTTGAATTGGGATGCCACCAGAAGGGGTTGTAGACAGCATTTTCTTCTCTTATTTGCAGCTGAGGACTTTCATGAGCAAAACTGGTGCTTCAAATCTTGCAGAGGCTTTTGGCATCATTTCCTCAGTTCAAGCCCCACATCTCTAAATTTAGCTCAGAAGGTTTGACATTAACTATTTTGGGACATTTTGTCAGGCTGAAAACTCATGGAGCTTCCACATATATCATTTGTAGGTGTTTGTATCTGTATTTTTTCTAAATGCATATATCTGCAATTATATTAATTAATGAGCCTTGGTGACACAGCAGACTAAAGCACTATTAAGAAACACCAGCTGCCTGCAATTACTGCAAGTTCAAATCTCACCAGGCTCAAGGTTGACTCAGCCTTCCATCCTTTCGAGGTAGGTAAAATGAGGACCCGGATTGTGGGGGCAATAAGATGACTTTGTATAAAAAAGAACACCGCTTAGGGGGGCCAGAAATCCCTACTGAGCAGGTATATACAAAAGTATGAAGTCTATTACTTAACGCATTGTAAGCCACCCTGAGTCTCCGGAGAAGGGCGGCATATAAATCGAACCAATAAATAAATACATCCAGATATATTTGAGGATAACACTTTCCAGTACCAAGAATTTATGATTGACCCAAGTCAAAAACATAATTTCATGGTTGAATAGATATCTTGGTACTCTTACATGTGTCAAATGAATCATAATTAATGTAAGAGATTATTCTAGCATTGTGGCATGTTTGCTTTTTCGTTGTAATGTATACTTTTTTTCACATCTTCTGCAACCATTTTATGCACAATTAAAGTTATACTTTTCTTTCAAACTTATAGACAAAGAGGATGGCAATAAGAGCATTCTGGACACCTGAGAATAACAACCAACATTGGAAAGGAAATAAAATTGAGCCAGAAATCAAAATATATTCCAGTTCCTTCAGAAAACCACACAATTCTCCTTCTCCAGCAGCTAATAGACAAAAGAGAGAAAATTAACATGAGATTTTGAGCTGGAAAAAGTAGAAGATACGAAACTCAAGGATACATTGCATGAAAGATCAAGGAAGAATATTTTTCATTCAGAAAAAGATGGAAATATCTGGAAGTTAGGGGGAAGGAAAAGGTCTTATTGGGCAGGGCACATACAGGCATTGCTCTGGGAAGAAGCAAACGGCTTTAATCAAAACACTACTAAACAATAGATCACACATATTTTTGACCTCAAGAATATCAGTTGTGGAAAAGCTCCATAGATCTGCCTATTGTAGAAAAAGCACAGATTCCAAATCATAGCTGATTAAACAAGAAGATCCCAACTGCAGAAAAGCCATACAAATTATCTGAATATGCCAAAAAGTTTGGTCAGCTTCCTTGTGGTTCATGGAACGACTCACACAGGAGAGAAGCCATACGAGTGCTCCCAATGTGAATACTTTAGTGAGCAAGGCAACATGGTGATACATCACAGGACACCCATCACATAAGAATGTCCAAATTCTGTGAAAGTTTCATTGGAAATTACCACCTCATGGGAGAACAAAGGACTCACACAGGAGAGAAACCCTTTCAATGTCCTGATTGTGGGAAAGGGTTCAGTAACAATTCCAATCTGGTGGCACACCAGAAAACTCACACAGGAGAGAAAACATTTGAATGTCCTGATTGTAGGAAAAGTTTCAGTCAGAATTCCCACTTGGTGACACACCAGAGGACTCATACAGGAGAGAAACCCTTTGAATGTCCTGATTGTGGGAAACGTTTCAGTCAGAATTCCAATCTGGTGGCACACCAGAAGACTCACACAGGAGAGAAACCATTTGATTGTCCTGATTGTGGGAAAAGTTTCAGTCACAATTCCAACCTGGTGACACACCAGAGGACTCACACAGGAGAGAAACCATTTGAATGTCCTGATTGTGGGAAAAGTTTCAGTCACAATTCCAGCCTGGTGGTACACCAAAGGACTCACACAGGAGAGAAACCATTTGAATGTCCTGATTGTGGTAAAAGTTTCAGTCACAATTCCAGCCTGGTGAAACACCAGAAGACTCACACAGGAGAGAAACCATTTGAATGTCCTGATTGTGGGAAAAGTTTCAGTCACAATTCCAGCCTGGTGAGACACCAGAGGACGCACACAGGAGAGAAACCATTTGAATGTCCAGATTGTGGGAAAAGTTTCAGTCACAATTCCAGCCTGGTGAAACACCAGAGGATTCACACAGGAGAAAAACCATTTGAATGTCCTGATTGTGGGAAAAGGTTCAGTGACAATTCCAATCTGGTGATACACCAAAGGACTCACACAGGAGAGAAACCATTTGAATGTCCTGATTGTGGGAAAAGGTTCAGTAACAATTCCACCCTGCTGAAACACCAGAAGACTCACACAGGAGAGAATCTATTTGAATGTCCTGATTGTGGGAAAAGTTTCAGTTACAATTCCAGCTTGCTGGCACACCAGAGGACTCACACAGGAGAGAAACTCTTTCAATGTCCAGATTGTGTGAAAAGTTTCAGTCAGAATTCCAGCCTGGTAAAACACCAGAGGACTCACACAGGAGAGAAACCGTTTGAATGTCCTGATTGTGAGAAAAGTTTCAATCAAAATTCTGACTTGGTGATACATCAGAGGACTCACACAGGAGAGAAACCGTTTGAATGTCCTGATTGTGGGAAAAGTTTCAGTTACAATTCCAGCCTGGTGATACACCAGAGGACTCACACAGGAGAGAAACCATTTGAATGTCTTGATTGTGGGAAAAGGTTCCGTAACAATTCCAATCTGGTGGCACACCAGAAAACTCACACAGGAGAAAAACCATTTGAATGTCCTGATTGTGGGAAAAGGTTCAGTCACAATTCCAATCTGGTGAAACACCAAAGGACTCACACAGGAGAGAAACCATTTGAATGTCCTGATTGTGGGAAAAGGTTCAGTCACAATTCCAGCCTGGTGACACACCAGAGGACTCACACAGGAGAGAAACCATTTGATTGTCCTGATTGCGGGAAAAGGTTCCGTAACAATTCCAATCTGGTGGCACACCAGAAAACTCACACAGGAGAAAAACCATTTGAATGTCCTGATTGTGGGAAAAGGTTCAGTGACATTTCCAATCTGGTGATACACCAAAGGACTCACACAGGAGAGAAACCATTTGAATGTCCTGATTGTGGGAAAAGGTTCAGTAACAATTCCACCCTGGTGAAACACCAGAAGACTCACACAGGAGAGAATCCATTTGAATGTCCTGATTGTGGGAAAAGTTTCAGTTACAATTCCAGCTTGCTGGCACACCAGAAAACTCACACAGGAGAGAAACTCTTTCCATGTCCAGATTGTGTGAAAAGTTTCAGTCAAACTTCCCACTTGGTGACACACCAGAGGACTCATACAGGAGAGAAACCATTTGAATGTCCTGATTGTGGGAAAAGTTTCAGTCAGAATTCCAGCCTGGTGATACACCAGAGGACTCACACAGGAGAGAAACCATTCGAATGTCTTGATTGTGGGAAAAGGTTCAGTAACAATTCCAATCTGGTGGCACACCAGAAAACTCACACAGGAGAGAAACCATTTGAATGTCCTGATTGTGGGAAAAGTTTCCTTTGGAATTCTGTGCTGGTGAGACACCAGAGGATTCACACAGGAGAGAAACCATACGAATGTCCAGATTGTGGGAAAGATTTCAGTACTAAGACTAGCCTTTTAAATCATGTGCTTATACACACGGGAGAAACCATTTAAGTGCCCAAAGAGTGGACGGTGCTTCAGGAAACATTCCACCCTTATTGCACACAAGAAAATGCACATGGATTTTCCAAAGTGATGAGTAATGACCTAAAGTAGTGGTTCCCAAAGTGGGCGGTACCAAAGTGGGGGGCGGTGGGATGACTTAGGGGGACAGTAAGAGGCAAGAGGGGCGGCAGGGGGGTGCTAGAGGCAAAAGGGAGCAGCAGGGGGGCGCTAAGTGGCAAGGAGGGTGGCGGAGTGTGGCCCCCACCCTTTGGCCTGTGCCTTGCAGCAGTTACCTCCTTGCAAGCAAACAGCAAGAAAAAACAGCTGCTTTCAGCTTCAGCATAGGCTAATTAGCACAAGTTGATTAGATTGGCCTCCCGACTCTCTCAGCTGTTTTGCGCAGGGCTCTGCTGCTTGCTTCAAAGAGTGTCGGAGCAGATTTGTTTTCCCCTTGTGCTAATCAAGCTATGCTGAAAACGAAACTGAAAGTAAAGCAGGCTGTTTGCTGCAAGAAAAATGAGGCAGAGGCAGAGGGAGATTTCTTTTTCTTCCTTTTCCTCACTAAAAAGGTAGGTGCAAACAATGGGAAATTTAGGGCAAAAGAGGAGAGTTCAAGATTTTAAAACACAAAAGAAGAAAAAGAAAAAGGCAAAAATAAAATTGGGAAGGGAGAAAAAGAAAAAGAAATGAAAGAGAAAGATGTTATACATATTTAGAATTGAAATATGAATAGTAGTAAGAAATAAATGGGAAATCATGATTGTAAAAATGAAATGAATAATAATTGGAATATTTGTCTTTTTATTTTTAAAATCTAGACAATGATAAGATTTTCTTTTTTTCTTTTTTAGAAACATCTCCCTTAGTGTCTCATATTCATCCTTCTAATTATCCATATTTTCCATGTTAAAAGGCTAGGATTTTTAAGCTTATTCTTTTCATTTACATATGTGGGGGGGGGATGCTTTTCAAGGAGCCACAAGGGGGGCTGAGAGCAGAGTCATTCTGACAGTGTCCTTTAAAATTGCTTGGAAGACCCATTTTTTCCCTAACAATAATGGTTTGTATACTTTGGAATAAAACATATACCTGGAAAAAGTACTTGGAAAACTTGGACAACGAAAAGAAAGGCAGGACTGGACTCATTATCAGTAGCTAGTAGTTCATTGTTATCAGAGACTCCCACTGATTCTAAACTCATTTTAAGACTGGGATTGCAGACTACTGAAATTTAAGTATTCAACATTGGTCTCAGAAATCTTTGATTTGAACTATGGCAAGAAAAATCGTAAAATTGGGCAAAATTTTACTCCGGAAAAGGGTGGCATATAAATCGAACCAATAAATAAATAAATAAATAAAACTCACTTAACCATAATTTCTAGATATTTTAAGTGTAGAGAATTCAAATGTTGAGAACGACCCATTATTTCATCTCCTTTTGCACACTAGGTACCAGTATTTGATTTCTTTTCCTTTTATTCAAATAACAACAGAAAACCCAATACAGTTCAGTATGAATTGGCTTTCTAGTCCTTCCTTGATGCACTTTTTCACATTGGTAATCTAGTTTAAATGCCAAAGGAAAATCAATGATATATATTTCAGACCTTTGGAGGATCACACTGTCAATTGTTCACACTGCTCAAGCAAAACTAACAGGTGTGAATTAAGCTTTAGCTAAAAAATGGAGCTTTAATTCCAGAAGTCCATTCTTTAAACTTGGACTTCTGGAATTAAAAGGCTCTGGATTAAATGGTACTCCAGACAAAAGATGGAGAAGAGTATCTTGCTTTTAGACATAATAGCTGTCAAGAAAGGTGAGTTAATGAGCTATTTTTACATCATCAGAAATTTAATTACCTGTTAAAAATGCAAAGACAAGGAGTACAAGGAGCAAATAAAAGACCTTCATGTTGGGGTTGGTTCTGGACCAAATCTTACTTGTGGGACAGAAACCAGCTCTCAGGCCTCCTTGTGACTTCTTGAAAAGAATCCCCCCCACACACACGCTCCACCGCCTGAGGAGGCAGGGGAGGGCTGCAGGTTGATCCCAAGGGGGTCTGGGAATGGGTGTGAATTCATCCCACAGCCCTCTCCATCCCCTCCTCTGTGAAATTGCTTTCTCCCACTCACTGGTGGTCAGCAAATTCAAAAGGAACCCCCAGCTGAGAATCACTGCTCCAGATTGGTTGATTCAGGGGATTTCTCTAGCGTTAACTAATAGTGTTAGCTATCTTTGTTACAGGGATAAATTTGTATTGGAGCAGCCTGCAGACCTCCCAAAGGTTCTGCGCACCCTGTTTTTGCAAAAAATGGGCCGGTTATTCACAAAAACGGGACATGCAGGGCAAGGCTTCAGGAGGCCAAAAATGTCCGTATTCCATGTATTTTATTGTTACTATCTTCCTTAGTGGGTCATGCAAACCGCTATTCCGAACAATGCTATTTATAGGGGGTGGGGGTGGGGGCAGTGGTGGACAGTAAAACTGGCAGGAGGCCCCGCCCACCGACCCCAACATCACCAAAACGCTTCTGTGCATGTGCAGAAGAGTGCGTGCATGCGTGAGCGAAGTGAGCATTCGCGGCCCCACTGCAAACCGGTAGTAAAGGTAAGTAGAACCCACCCCTGGGTGGGGGGCACTGAGGGCGAGTTTGTAGTACCAAGGGGGCGGTGGACTGAAAAGGTTTGGGAACCTCTGACCTAAAGTGATGAGTGTAAAGGCTTGAATTTTAAGTCCAGCTGAGAAATTAACTCTTCAATTTGACCAGAAAGAATTTGCTTGATTGTTTTTGTCATCAAGTATGTCATAGTCTTAGATGGGAAGGAGGAAAGAAAAAATTGGAACATGTTAGTTTGATAATGGCTGTCTGACTGGCCATCAGCAGCAGAAGTTGCTGGGTATTTATTTCTGCAGAAATTGTGCAATTCTGCAAAAATCATTTTAGGAGTGTTCTCTGCATTTTTATCATAATCAATGAGAGAAATGCCACATGCAGAGTACCAGCCTTTCTTTCCCTGGGTATCCTCGAGATTTTCCACCCCAGAATTTCCCAGGCAGCATCTCTTCGGGATAAGAGAGCTCAGGCTGTAGTTAGAGGTTGTGGGTCCTCGTGGAAGGAGAAAACAAGAGGAAAGAGAAATAGTTTATCTTTGCCTAACAATTCATTGCACCAAGCATGTCTGCTCAGGTGGTGAATGAGGCACGCAAGTGGAAGAAACCAGATGACTAGCAAATGTATTGGGGGAGTTTGGGGCAGTGACAAAAGCAGTGTAAAATTTCAGGTGCAAAGGCTACTCTGCCTTGCATGTGACCTTCATGGAGAGGAGCTGTAGGAATACTGAGTTGAGAAAAGGGATTGTGTTTTTGAGTACAGGATATCCAGGTTCATTCGCAACTCCTGTTGTGATCTCCTTCGCTTGGAGGTTCCTCCTTGTTAGTCTTTGATGGCTGGGTGATGTGAGCAGAACCAAGGGATTGATACTTTGGTGGTTCCCCCCTTGGTAGGGAAATGTGAGGGAAAAAAAATTGTACAGTAGATGTTTCATTTCTAAAACAGCATTGCATAAGACTCCTGAATAGATTTTGAGGGGGGAAAAGGAAAGTGTCAGCAGTTCTGTAAACATTGGGACAATGTAATGCAACGCTCTCTTCCCAACACCCGGGAGATCTTTCCTGTTCTTTCACTTCTCTCCCAGGACTCCTTAATTTGTTTCAAAAATTCCTTCAATTAAAGAGGAACATTATTTGTAGCAGTGAAAGTGGTATTTTAGCTATGCAGATGGATTATCCTGATTTTGCTGGGATTGGAAGACACCAAAGAATTCCAAGATCATTCATTTCACCCACAAGATTCAAAAAGACAGGTTACAATGTTTTTTAGTAGGTCACATTGCATCTGATCCTTTTGAAGGATACTCGGTGACCAGGAGCAGATCAGGACTGGCATGTGGAGAAACCAAGATGTAACTCAATGGTCTGTCTGGATAATCACTGGGGATTTTCCATGACTGAGAATAGGGTAAATCACTATAAAATGCTCCATAGATGGTACCTAGCGCCAGCTAGATTAGCGAAAATATTCCCTAGCGCTTCAGCAACTTGCTGGAAATGTGGAAAGGAGGTCGGCACCTTCTATCATATGTGGTGGTCCTGCCCAGAGACAAAAAGGTTTTGGTCTAGAATTCGAAATTGGTTACGAGAAATAGTCGAAGAAGAATTAGACTTATCCCCTGAATTTTTTCTATTGGGAATGATCAGAGATGGACTCACCAAAGATAAAATCCATCTTGTAATTCATATTACAACAGCGGCCAGATTAGTTTTCGCGAAGTATTGGAAAGATAAAGTAATCCCTCCAGAGGAAATACTAATAAACAAAATCTTAGAATGTGCAGAAATATCAAAATTAACGAGCGATCTTAATGATGTGAACTCAAAATATTATGTAGTATGGGAAAGGTGGTACAAAGGGTTGAATAATAGGATAAGATCTTGATGTCAGGATATGCTTATCTTTAGTAATTGAAGTTTTGAATTTACCTGATATATATTTAGCAAATATGTATATACACGACACCTCGGACGTTAATGGAGATTTGATGTTTTTTTTATAATTTTAAAACTAATAAAATATATATATTTTAAAAAAAGGATAGGATTGAATGGAAATGAATTCTTTATTGGCCAAGTGTGATTGGACACAAGGAATTTGTCTTTGGTGCAAATGCTCTTACTGTACATAAAAAGACAAGATACATTTGTCAAGAATCATAAGGTACAACACTTAATGATAGTCATAGGGTACAAATAAGTAATCAAATCATAGTAGGAAACTATAAATCGTAAGGATACAAGCAACAAAGTAACGGTCATACAGTCATAAATGGGAGGAGATGGGTGATAGGAACAATGGGAAGATTAATAGTAATAGTAATTCAGACTTAGTAAATAGTTTGACAGTGTTGAGGGAATTATTTGTTTAGCAGAGTGATGGCATTCAGTAAAAAACTTCTTGTGTCTAGTTCTTCTGGTGTGCAGTGCGCTATAGTGTCATTTTAAGGGTAGGAGTTGAAACAGTTTAGAGGTCTGTAAATATTTTCACAGCCCTCTTTTTGATTCATGCAGTATACAGGTTCTCAATGGAAGGCAGGTTGGTAGTAATTGTTTTTTCTGCAGTTCTAATTATCCTCTGAAGTCTGTGTCTGTCTTGTTGGGTTGCAGAACCAAACCAGACAGTTATAGAGGTGCAGATGACACACTCAATAATTCCTTTTTAGAACTGTATCAGCAGTTCCTTGGGCTGTTGGAGGTTCCTGAGTTGGCGCAGAAAGAACATTCTTTGTTGTGCTTTTTTGATGATAGGTGTCCATTTTAGGTCTTGAGATATGATAGAACCTAGAAATTTGAATGTCTCTACTGTTGATACTGTGTTGTCTAGTACTGTGAGAGGTGGAAGTATGGGAGGATTTCTCCTAAAGTCTACCACCATTTCTACGGTTTTAAGTGTGTTCAGATCCAGGTTGTTCCAGACACACCACGAGGCTAGTTGTTCAACCTCCCATCTTTATGCAGATTCATCATTGTCTTGAATGAGACCAATCTCTGTTATATCATCTGCAAACTTCAGTAGTTTAGGAGATGGATCGTTTGAGATGCAGTCATTGGTATATAGAGAGAAGAGAAATGGGGAGAGCACAAATCCTTGTGGGGGGCCCTGTGCTAATTGTACAGGTATCTGATGTGATTCTGCTTAGCTTCACCTGCTGCTTCCTGTCTGTTAGGAAGCTTATGATCCACTTACAAGGGTGTTCAGGTACCGCTAGCTGGTTTAGTTTAGTTAGAAGTATGTCCGGAATGATGGTATTGAATGCTAAACTAAAGCCTATAAAGGGGACCCTTGCGTAGGTCTTTGGAGATTTAAGACGTTGTAGGATGTAGTGCAGAGCCATATTAACAGCATCATCTGTCAGTCTATATGAGTAGAGAACACAAACTATCTCCCTGCTCCTAGCCCAGCACTGTCACCCACCCTATCAAATTCAAATAGGTGCCAAATTTCTAAACTTTAAAATAGTAAAATGCTCAATATACTTAATATTATCTGATTGTTTTCCTTTTTCTCTTTCCTTGGTGTCGTATTTTAGTGCACATCTTTATCATGTCTCGTTTTATTATGGTTAGACATTGGAAACCCTTCCAATGATCCCAAAGCCTCTGAATGTCTCTCAGGGCTATATAAAAATATGTGTCTTCTGCTAAATGCTTTATTATGTCCTAAAGCTGTGATGGCGAACCTATGGCACGCGTGCCAAAGGTGGCAAACGGAGCCATAACTGTGGGCAAGCAAGAGTTGCCCTAGCTCAGTGCCAATTGATTTTCAGTCCTTCTGGGCCCACTGGAAGTCGGGAAATGGGCCATTTCCAGCCTCAAGAGAGCCTCCGGAGGGATGGGGAAAGCCACTTTCGCCCTGTCCAGGGTTCAAGAAAGCCTCTGAAGCCTGGGGAGGGAGAAAAACAGGCCTCCTGGACCCACCAGTAACCTTTTTGCTGTCACATGCCAAAAGTGGGGGGGGGAGCGCAGGGGGATTGTGCGTGCATGCGCGGGGCTCGGGACATTGAATTATGGGTGTGGGCACATGTGAACGCGACCCCCCTGCCCTCCCCCCACTTTTGGCACACAACAGTAAAAAGGTTAGCCATCACTGTCCTAAATGGTCTTAATCCTATCATCCTGAAGGTGAAGGTATTTTGTTTTAGCAATAGCAATAGTAGTTAGACTTATATACCGCTTCACAGTGCTTTAACAGCCCTCTCTAAGCGGTTTTACAGAGTCAGCATATTGTCCCTAACAATCTGGCTCATTTTACCCACCTCGGAAGGATGAGTCTGGTGAGATTCGATCTGCCAAATTGCAGGCAGCTGGCAGTCAGCAGAAGAAGCCCGCAGTACTGTACTCTAACCACTGCGCCACCACTGCTCTTATAGATAGCCTGGCCCAATCTTTCTTAATGGGCACAAAATGCCTGCTGGGGGCTATTAAGAAAGACTGAATCTGTCTTCCTACCTCTAAAAAAACACGTTTCTCCATTTCTCATTTAGGGAAATATAATATTCTGCCTTTTTAATATTTCCCAAAATATTTCATTCTTCTGGGGAGTGGTGCTGACTTTCTACAAATCATAAAAAGCTCTTTACATTTCCAACATTCATTTGAGGTGCCTTTATACATTCTGGACAATTTGTCCAGTGATAGATACACACAGTACACCATCTTATAAAACTTTTCTTTTATAGTTTAATGTGAATTTTAGATCTTTCAGCCACATATTCTCCCATTGTTCAAGCATGATTTACATGCAAAGTTCTTTGCCCACTGAATCATAAAATGCTGTACATAGTCATCCTCCATGTTCCACTACAGTTTATAAACCTTAAAAATAGCACTCCCTTGGAGTATCTTGACTTGATGGGGCTGGCAGGTCGCAAAATCTTGGGAGACACAGAAAATCAGTTTTAAACTTTTGGGATGTAGAGAGGCATTGATCTCTATCGAGAGTCACCCCCTAAGATAGCAAATTCTGCCAAAAAAAGAAAAAGATTCTGTCAATGACTACTTCAGCTTCAACCACAATACCTGAGCAAATAAGAGATACAAACTCAAGGTAAACGGCTCCAAATTCAATTGCAGAAAATACGAGTTCAGCAACAGAGTGGTCAATGCCTGGAGTGCACTACCTGACTCTCTGGTTTCTTCCCCAAACCCCCAAAACTTTAACCTTAGACTGTCTACTGTTGACCTCACCCCATTCCTAAGAGGTCTGTAAGGCATAAGCGCACCATCGTCCCTGTCCTCATGTCCCTTTTTACTCTTATTCTTTTCATGTATTCCAATTACGTTTATGCTTTTATATGTTTTCTTATATATGCTTTACAAATAAAATAAAATAAAATAAATAAAAAAATAAAATGTCATGAACTTTCAGGGCTCATAACTAATCTTCGTAAGCTTAGAGGTATCACATTTCACTCTTTTGTTTGGGTCAGTTGCCAGAAGTCAAAAATGACGGTAGCATTTAATCAGTGAAAACCTCTTGCAACCGCCTTAGATAAGAGGGGGGACAAGCGCGTTTTTCTGCCTGCCTGGAGATGGCGCTAAAACAGGCAACACCGGTGGCTAGAAAGCGGACGGTACAGCAGGCGGCGCCTGTGGTTGTGTTTAAGGAGTTAAAATCATCAAGTACTGCATTGCTAGAAAGGCTGGGAGGAGAGGAGACGCGCAGAGGAACTTCCTCTTCCGGATGGCTGATGGGAGGAAGTTGGTGTGTGCAGAGCGGCTTTTGTGCTGTTTCCATGGTGGAAGCAGCAGCTGCCGGGTGAGTGGAGGGCAGCAGGTGGGAGGAGAGTCCGGGAGCAACTTGGGCTGGAAGCGGAGAAGCAACTGGGCTGAAGCCTCTCAGCTGCGGCTGCTGCAGGTTCCTTCCCTCCCCAAATGGAAGCCCACTGGTGCTGCAGGCTGGGAAACTGGGGGCTGCAATTTCTGCCGGTGGGAAGCTTGAAAAAGCCTCCTTCCAATGCAGGTTGAGCCTTTGGGGCTGGTTTCCCTCCAGAGGGAGCTCCGTCACTGGAGGTTTGGAAGAGAGCTGGAAGAAACCTTGGAGGTCTTAATGACGTCTCAGACAAATGGCTGTCCCGTCGGTTTAAAAGCCACCAGCAATGGAGCCCCCACAACCTCTGGAGGGAAGCCATTCCCGAAGAATCAACCTTCACTCAAAAGGGACTTTTTCAGTCTTCCAGGCAGCAGAAAATTGCAGCCATTCCCTTCCACTGGCTAATTGTTCTCACTGATGGGATTTTTCCTTAATTCCAGGTTTTTCTCTCTCCTTGATTAGTTTCCATGCATTGCTTCTTGTCTTGTCCTTCTGGTGCTTTGGAAAAGAAGTTGAACCTCCAAGTATTGGAACACTGCTATCATGTCACCCCTAGTCCTTCCTTTCACTAGACGATTCATTCCCAATTACTGCAACCCACTAATTATCCCTTCTGCTCTTCTCTGCACTCTTTACAGAGTCTGGATGCCTTTTTTATATTGTGGCGATGAAAAGTGGTTGCAGTAATCCAAGCGTTAAACAGACTAAAGCACTATTAAGTAACACCAGCTGCCTGCAATTACTGCAAGTTCAAATCTCACCAGGCTCAAGGTTGACTCAACTTTCCATCCTTTCGAGGTAGGTAAAATGAGGACCTGGATTTTGGGGGCAATAAGTTGACTTTGTATAAAAAAGAACACAGTGGGGGTGAAAGCCCTACTAAGCAGGTATATACAAAAGTATGAAGGCTATTGCTTAACACATTGTAAGCCACCCTGAGTCTCTGGAGAAGGGCGGCATATAAATTGAACCAATAAATAAATAAATACATATATAATCTATCCTTTGTACATCCAGATATATTTGAGGATAACCCTTTGCAGTGCCAAGAATTTATCATTGACCCAAGTCAAAAACATAATTTTATGGTTGAATAGATATCTTGGTACTCTTCCATGTGTCAAATGAATCATAATTAATGTAAGAGATTATTCTAGCATTGTGGCATGTTTGCTTTTTCGTTGTAATGTATACTTTTTTCACATCTTCTGCAACCATTTTATACAGAATTAAATTTACACTTTTCTTTGAAATTTATAGACAAAGAGGATGGCAATAAGAGCACTCTGCACAATTGAGAATAACAAGCAACATTGAAAAGAAAAGAAAATTGAGCCAGAAATCAAAATATATTCCATCTCCTTCAAAAAACCACACAATTCTCTTTCTCCAGCAGCTAATAGACAAAAGAGAGAAAATTAACATGAGATTTTGAGCTGGAAAAAGTAGAGGATACGAAACTCAAGGATACATTGCATGTAAAATCAAGGAAGATTATTTTTCACTCAGAAAAAGATGGAAATATCTGGAAGTTAGGGGGAAGGAAAAGGTCTTATTGGGCAGGGCACATACAGGCCTTGCTCTGGGAAGAAGCAGACACCAATCAAAACACCACTAAACAATAGATTTTGATTTAGTGGTAATCAAAACAGCACTAAACAATAGATGACACATATTTTTGACCTCAAGAATATCAGTCGTGGAAAAGCTCCATAGATCTACCTATTGTAGAAAAAGCACAGATTGCAAATCATAGCTGATTTAACAAGAAGATCCCAACTGCAGAAAAGCCATACAAATTATCTGAATATGCCAAAAAGTTTGGTCAGAACAGCTTCCTTGTGGTTCATGGAACGACCCACACAGGAGAAAAGCCATATGAGTGCTCCTGATGTGAACACTTTAGTGAGCATGGCAACATGGTAATACATCACAGGACACCCATCACATAAGAGTGTCCAAATTGTGTGAAAGTTTCATTGGAAATTACCATCTCATGAGACAACAAAGGACTCACACAGGAGAGAAACCCTTTCAATGTCCTGATTGTGGGAAAAGGTTCAGTCAGAATTGCAGCCTGGTGACACACCAGAGGACTCACACAGGAGAGAAACCATTTGAATGTCCTGATTGTGGGAAAAGTTTCAGTCAGAAGTCCAGCCTAGTGACACACCAGTCGACTCACACAGGAGAGAAACCATTTGAATGTCCTAATTGTGGTAAAAGTTTCAGTCAGAATTCTAATCTGTTGGCACACCAGAAAACTCACACAGGAGAGAAACCATTTGAATGTCCTGATTGTGGGAAAAGTTTCCTTTGGAATTCTGAGCTGGTGAGACACCAGAAGACTCACACAGGAGAGAAACCATTTGAATGTCCAGATTGTGGGAAAAGTTTCAATCGCAATTCCAGCCTGGCGATACACCAGAGGACTCACACAGGAGAGAAACCATTTGAATGTCCTCATTGTGGGAAAAGTTTCTTTAACAATTCCAGCCTGGTGATACACCAAAGGACTCACACAGGAGAGAAACCATTTGAATGTCCTGATTGTGGGAAAAGTTTCAGTCAGAATTCCCACCTGGTGACACACCAGAGGACTCACACAGGAGAGAAACCATTTGAATGTTCTGATTGTGGGAAAAGTTTCAGTCAGAATTTCAACCTGGTGAAACACCAGAAGACTCACACAGGAGAGAAACCATTTGAATGTCCTGATTGTGGGAAAAGTTTCAGTCAGAATTCCCACCTGGTGACTCACCAGAAGACTCACATAGGAGAGAAGCCATTTGAATGTTCTGATTGTGGGAAATGTTTCAATCAGAATTCCAACCTGGTGAAACACCAGAAGACTCACACAGGAGAGAAACCATTTGAATGTCCTGATTGTGGGAAAAGGTTCAGTAACAATTCCAACCTGCTGGCACACCAGAGGACTCACACAGGAAAGAAACCCTTTCAGTGTCCTGATTGTGGGAAAAGTTTCAGTCGGAATTCTACGCTGGTGAGACACGAGAGGACTCATACAGGAGAGAAACCATTTGAATGTTCAGATTGTGGGAAAAGGTTCAGTTACAATTGCAATCTGGTGGCACACCAGAAGACTCACACAGGAGAGAAACCGTTTGAATGTCCTGTTTGTGGGAAAAGTTTCAGTCAGAATTCCCACCTGGTGAGACACCAGAGGACTCACACAGGAGAGAAACCATTTGAATGTTCGGATTGTGGCAAAAGTTTCAGTCACAATTCCGGCCTGGTGACACATCAGAGGACTCACACAGGAGAGAAACCATTTGAATGTCCTGATTGTGGGAAACGTTTCAATCAGAATTCCAACCTGGTGAAACACCAGAAGACTCACACAGGAGAGAAACCATTTGAATGTCCTGACTGTGGGAAAAGGTTCAGTAACAATTCCAATCTGGTGGCACACCAGGAGACTCACACAGGAGAGAAACCATTTGAATGTCCTGATTGTGGGAAAAGTTTTAGTCACAATTCCAGCCTGGTGAAACACCAGAAGACTCACACAGGAGAGAAACTATTTGAATGTCCTGATTGTGGGAAAAGCTTCAGTCACAATTCCAGCCTGGTGACACACCAGAGAACTCACACAGGAGAGAAACCATTTGAATGTCCTGATTGTGGGAAATGTTTCAGTCAGAATTCCCACCTGGTGATACACCAGAGGACTCACACTGGAGAGAAACCATATGAGTGCCCAGACTGTGGGAAAGATTTCAGTACTAAGACTAGCCTTTTAAATCACGTGCTTATACACACGGGAGAAACCATTTAAGTGCCCCAAGAGTGGACGGTGCGTAAGGAAACATTCCATCCTTATTGCACACAAGAAAATGCGCATGGATTTTCCAAAGTGATGAGTGATGACCTAAAGCAGTGGTTCCCAAAGTGGGCGGTACCAACCTGGGGGGCAGTAGTATAACTTAGGGGGGGGCAATAAGAGCAAGGGGGATGGCAGGGGGGCGCTAGAGGGAAAATTGGGTTGTCGGAGGGCGCTAAGTGGTGAGGGTGGCGGAGGGTGGCCCCCACCCTTTGGCCTGTGCCTCGCAAGAGTTACCTCCTTGCAAGCAAAAAGCAAGAAAAAATAGCTACTTTCAGCTTCAGCATAGGCTAATTAGCACAAATTGATTAGATTGGCCTCCCAACTCTCCCAGCTGTTTTGCACAGGGCTCTGCTGCTTGCTGCAAATTGTTGGAGCAGATTTTTTTCCCCTTGTGCTAATCAAGCTATGCTGAAAATGAAACTGAAAGTAAAGCAGGCTGTTTGCTGTTTGCTGCAAGGAAAAATTAGGCAGAGGGAGATTTCTTCTTTTTCCTCACTAAAAAAGGTAGTTGCAAAAAATGGGAAGTTTAGGGCAAAAGAGGAGAGTTCAAGATTTTAAAACACAAAAGAAAAAAAGGAGAAAGAAAAAGGCAAATATAAAAATGGGAAGGGAGAATAAGAAATGAAAGAGAAAGATGTTATACATATTTAGAATTGAAATATGAATAGTAGTAAGAAAGAAATGGGAAATCATGACTGTAAAAGTGAAATGAGTAATAATTGGAATATTTGTCTTTGTATTTTTGAAATCTAGACAATGATAAGTTTTTTTTTCTTTTTTTTAGAAATATGAATAAGTATAAACTCTAACAATTGAAATACCTTTAATGATATATGTTGGTGAAAGTAAAAAGGATTAAGTTGTAACTTGGATAACATTGTTCTATTTTTCATTTAACAGCATTTTCACATATAATTTTAGCTAAAAAATGGAGCTTTAATTCCAGAAGTCCATTCTTTAAAGTTGGACTTCTGGAATTAAAAGTCTCTGGATTAAATGTTACTCCAGACAAAAGATGGAGAAGAGTATCTTGCTTTTAGACATGATAATAGCTGTCTAGAAAGGTGAGTTATGAGGTATATTTACATCATCAGACCTCAACTATGAGAGACAAAATGAGAAAACAAATCCAGACAATCACATTGTCTGATTTGGAAAGAATTTATTTGCAAATTATGGTGGAAAATAAGTATTTGGTCACCTACAAACAAGCAAGATTTCTGGCTCTCACAGACCTGTAACTTTTTGTTTAAGAGGCTCCTCTGTCCTCCACTCAATACCTGTATTAATGGCACCTGTTTGAACTTGTTATCATTATAAAAGAAACCTGTCCACAACCTCAAACAGTCACACTCCAAACTCCACTATGGTGAAGACCAAAGAGCTGTCGAAGGGCACCAGAAACAAAATTGTAGACCTGCACCAGGCTGGGAAGACTGAATCTGCAATAGGCAAGCAGCTTGGTGTGAAGAAATCAACTGTGGGAGCAATAATTAGAAAATGGAAGACATACAAGACCACTGATAATCTCCCTCGATCTGGGCTCCACGCAAGATCTCACCCCGTGGGGTCAAAATGATCACAAAAACGGTGAGCAAACATCCCAGAACCACACAGGGGGACCTAGTGAATGACCTGCAGAGAGCTGGGATCAACATAACAAAGGCTACCATCAGTAACACACTACACCACCAGGGACTCAGATCCTGCAGTGCCAGACGTGTCCCCCTGCTTAAGACAGTACATGCCTGGGCCCATCTGAAGTTTGCTAGAGAGCATTTGGATGATCCAGAAGAGGATTGGGAGAATGTCATATGGTCAGATGAAACCAAAGTAGAACTGTTTGATAGAAACACAACTCATCGTATTTGGAGGAAAGAGAACGCTGAGTTGCATCCAAAGAACACCATACCTACTGTGAAGCATGGGAGTGGCAATATCATGCTTTGGGGCTGTTTCTCTGCAAAGGGACCAGGACGACTGATCCGTGCACAGGAAAGAATGAATGGGGCCATGTATTGTGAGATTTTGAGTGCAAACTTCCTTCCATCAGCAAGGACATTGAAGATGAAACGTGGCTGGGTCTTTCAGCATGACAATGATCCCAAACACACCGCCCGGGCAACGAAGGAGTGGCTTCGTAAGAAGCATTTCAAGGTCCTGGAGTGGCCTAGCCAGTCTCCAGATCTCAACCCCATAGAAAACCTTTAGAGGGAGTTGAAAGTCCGTGTTGCCCAGCGACAGCCCCAAAACATCACTGCTCTAGAGGAGATCTGCATGGAGGAATGGGCCAACATACCAGCAACAGTGTGTGCCAACCTTGTGAAGACTTACAGAAAACGTTTGACCTCTGTCATTGCCAACAAAGGATATATAACAAAGTATTGAGATGAACTTTTGATATTGACCAAATACTTATTTTCCACCATAATTTGCAAATAAATTCTTTCCAAATCAGACAATGTGATTGTCTGGATTTGTTTTCTCATTTTGTCTCTCATAGTTGAGGTCTACCTATGATGTCAATTACAGGCCTCTCTCATCTTTTTAAGTGGGAGAACTTCCACAATTGGTGGCTGACTAAATACTTTTTTGCCCCACTGTATTTTACTGTTACTGTCTTCCTTAGTGGGTCGTGCAAACCGCTATTCCGAACAATGCTATTTATAGGGGGTGGGGGTGGGTGCAGTGGTGGGTTGCCCCAGTTCTATAGAACTGATAGTAAAACTGGCAGGAGGCCCCACCCACCGACCCCGACATCACCAAAACGCTTCTGTGCATGTGCAGAAGAGTGCGTGCATGCGTGAGCGAAGTGAGCGTTCACGGCCCCACTGCAAACCGGTAGTAAAGGTAAGTAGAACCCACCCCTGGGTGGGGGGCACTGAGGATGAGTTTGTAGTACCAAAGGGGCGGTGGACTGAAAAGGTTTGGGAACCTCTGACCTAAAGTGATGAGTGTAAAGGCTTGAATTTTAAGTCCAGCTGAGAAATTGACTCTTCAATTTGACCAGAAAGAATTTGCTTGATTGTTTTTGTCATCAAATATGTCATAGTCTTAGATGGGAAGGAGGAAAGAAAAAATTGGAACATGTTAGTTTGATAATGGCTGTCTGGCTGGCCATCAGCAGCAGAAGTTGCTGGGTATTTATTTCTGCAGAAATTGTGCAATTCTGCAAAAATCATTTTAGGAGTGTTCTCTGCATTTTTATCATAATCAATGCTAGAAATGCCACATGCAGAGTACCAGCCTTTTTCTCCCTTGGTATCCTCGAGATTTTCCACCCCAGAATTTCCCAGGCAGCATCTCTTCGGGATAAGAGAGCTCAGGCTGTAGTTAGAGGTTGTGGGTCCTCATGGAAGCAGAAAACAAGAGGAAAGAGAAATAGTTTATCTTTTCCTAACAATTCATTGCACCAAGCATGTCTGCTCAGGTGGTGAATGAGGCACGCAAGTGGAAGAAACCAGATGAATAACAAATATATTGGGGGAGTTTGGGGCAGTGACAAAAGCAGTGTAAAATTTCAGACGCAAAGGCTACTCTGCCTTGCATGTGACCTTCATGGAGAAGAGCTGTAGGAATACTGAGTTGAGAAAAGGGATTGTGTTTTTGAGTACAGGATCTCCAGGTTCATTCGCAACTCCTGTTGTGATCTCCTTCGCTTGGAGGTTCCTCCTTTGCTAGTCTTTGATGGCTGGGAGGTGTGAGCAGAACCAAGGGATTTTTACTTTTGTGGTTCCCCCCTTGGTAGGGAAATGTGAGGGAAAAAATTGTACAGTAGATGTTTCATTTCTAAAACCGCATTGCATAAGACTCATGAATAGATTTTGAGGGGGGAAAAGGAAAGTGTCAGCATTTCTGTAAACATTGGGACAATGTAATGCAAAGCTTTCTTCCCAACACCTGGGAGACCTTTCCTGTTCTTTCACTTCTCTCCCAGGACTCCTTAATTTGTTTCAAAAATTCTTTCAATTAAAGGGGAACATTATTTGTAGCATTATTTTTAGAACTGTATCAGCAGTTCCTTGGGCTGTTTGAGCTTCCTGGGTTGGCGCAGAAAGAACATTCTTTGTTGTGCTTTTTTGATGATAGGTGTCCATTTTAGGTCTTGAGATATGATAGAACCTAGAAATTTGAATGTCTCTACTGTTGATACTGTGTTGTCTAGTATTGTGAGGGGTGGAAGTATGGAAGGGTTTCTCCTAAAGTCTACCACCATTTCTACGGTTTTGAGTGTGTTCAGTTCCAGGTGGTTCCAGTCACACCACGAGGCTAGTTGTTCAACCTCCCGTCTTTATGCAGATTCATCATTGTCTCGAATGAGACCAATCTCTGTTATATCATCTGCAAACTTCAGTAGTTTAACAGATGGATCATTTGAGATGTAGTCATTGGTATATAGAGAGAAGAGAAATGGGGAGAGCACAAATCCTTGGGGGGGCCCTGTGCTAATTGTACAGGTATCTGATGTGATTCTGCTTAGCTTCACCTGCTGCTTCCTGTCTGTTAGGAAGCTTATGATCCACTTACAAGGGTGTTCAGGTACCGCTAGCTGGTTTGGTTTAGTTAGAAGTATGTCTGGAATGATGGTATTGAATGCTGAACTAAAGCTTATAAAGGGGACTCTTGCATAGGCCTTTGGAGATTTAAGATGTTGTAGGATGTAGTGCAGAGCCATATTAACAGCATCATCTGTCAATGTATATGAGTAGAGTACACAAACTATCTCCCTGCTCCTAGCCCAGCACTGTCACTCACCCTATCAAATTCAAATAGGTGCCAAATTTCTAAAATTTAAAATAGTAAAATGCTCGATATACTTAATATTAACTGATTGTTTTCCTTTTTCCCTGGTGTCACATGTTGGTGCACATCTTTATCATGTCTCGTTTTATTATGGTTAGACATTGGAAACCCTTCCAATG